TTTTTAAAGTAAAATATTATAAATATCTTTCTTTAGGAGCGTCGCGACTATGTATACATGTATATTTATAAGAAAATTTAATAAACAAACAAATTTTTTACATATTTTAGGACTTGCTTGTGCCCTAGCAACTCCCTTGAGCGCTTCTCCCCCTCTCATGGAGCTCATTTCTTATCTTGCCTTTGCTTCTTGCATAGGAATGTTACTCTCGATCACACAAATGCTTGATCACTACGTCTTCCCCTCGTGGGTTTCTCCTCTCTATCTCTCAATTCCTTTCTCTCGGTCTCTCCTCGTTTGAATTTAAAGAAACGAAAGCCTTTTTTTCTTCTTGCGACACCAAGCGACTTAGGTTTGTTTCCTTCAAAACTCCCAATGACGAAGATTCCTTTGCGATAAACAACCTTTCATTTTCTTTGTGGATCTTCTTTTTCTCTCCTTTGAGATTCCATGTAAGATATAAGTTCTAAATATTACAATGAATTAAGTAAATATATTGATGGTTTGATTTATTTTTAGTATTTTTATGTTTTATTTATAATAATATGAGTTTAATTTTTTTATTTTTTTTGTTTTAAGGTTTATGCATTGCCTCACTAAGAAAAAATGTCTAGATTTCCAATTTCACCTTTTTAAATATTGGCCTTCGGCTTAGTAGATGGTGTCCATCTCTCCCATCTCAATCTTCCCTCTCCTCTTCTCTCTCTCTCTCTCTCTCATTTATTTGTCATGCCCTTCGGTTCCGCTCTCTCTTGGTTCACTTATGTCTCCCTCTTTCTCTTCATGTCACTAATCAGAACTAACAAAGTTGATTCTGTCGAATTGATGGTAATTGGTTCGATTATATATATATATATATATATTGCGTGATTTTATCAATATTGACTTGTTGAAAGTTTTATCTATCTTGTCACAACAACTAGATTCATTTTAGTGTCCGTGAAATGCTTTCCATTGTTTCCTAGACTGTAGATGGAATGAAAGAATATGAAATTCATGAGATGAATGGTCTAACTGTTGGCTGTCTAGTTTCAGCACCTTACAACAAGACGGATGTGTGTAATGGTTGCTTTCTCTTGTGGATTGACCATGACATGAAAATTAATAAGTATTGTGGGTATAAAAAAGAACATAAAAGGAAAACACAAGCAATCTGGAAAGCACTTGTAAAACAAATTTATGGTTGTTTCAAGGTTTATGCTGTGCAATTTAAGAGAATATAATCATACGTCATGTTTTTACAGGTAGTGGGATCTCACTTATTATCAAATGAACATTATTCTAGTTCTTCGGATAACATATGAGATATATATTAGCCCAAGACCTTAGGATCTTCTCTTTAATTTGTATGTAGAGGTTGTTGCTTTGCAATATTGATCGAACAATTCTTTTAAGACAATAATAATCCATAAGCCTTTGGATAATGTAGGAATCAATCATGCATATATACATTGGCTTATTTCTCTTTGTTGATGGATCTATGAAATCTCTTAGCAAATACTTCTTATTTTGTTATTTTTCATTGATAATCTACTAATTTTATATTATCCTTGGGCACAATAACTAGAATTGAGCTAGTCTGCCTTAACTTTATCACCACATCATATATACATATGATAACAAGAGATGCATTAACTTCTCCCACCTCCTGCACTTCATCACGTTAAGGATTTGAAGGAAAGAACCTCCATGTTATCTTTCTTCTCATGCTCAATCTTATTGTTTGCCTCAACATAAATGGGCGGGTCAATAGCAAGGATTTGGTCATTAACATTTTTATTCCCTTCCCCTTCAGCTCCCTCTATACAGATTTTTAACAAAATTGCTTAGTGCATCCATTTTTTAATATAATCTTAGTTATTTATTCTCTAATTTGTGTTGTATTCACTTCAACTCATTAAGAATCATTAAAAATTGCTTCAATTGGTTGGATGAGGTATAGTCTTGCGAGCAACTTATCACTCTTCAACTACTTTTCCTATTTTTTTTCTCAGTGTGACATCCTCGCGTATCTACAAAATGTGTGATGGTCATGTTCTTCTTCATAATCCTAACTTGGACAAGCTGAGTATACACAATGGACTTATAGAGGTCTTTTTCATCAACTTTGTGACATGCTAGAGTTAATGATCACTTGCAAAAAATAATTTGAAGTAGCCTTGAAATTTAATTTATAGTAATAATTTACATACAATAATAGCTAAAATATAATAGTTTTCAGGTAATTTATATTTTTATTCACTAATAATGGAAAAAAATTTGAGTATTTTATTGCTCTTCTAGCTTAATATCCTTGGTGCTATTCTTTCAAGATGAACATATCTAGTTATGAGGTATTCTTTTTTAGGATAGTGGTCTTCTAATGCACCATATCCTTATCAAGCACTCAAAGTCGCCCTTGTAGTTTACCCCATGAGTATCCTAAGAATGCTTTCTCATCTTTGGCTAAGGCAAGCAATTTAGTAAAACAATGTTGTGCTTCTTATGGTTGAGCATAACGCCATCTACTAGTTAATATAAATCTAACTTTTATATATCATTCCTCTTAGTGCATAACAAATGCTTTCACTTGGTATGCATTCTTAGGTTTTTGTCTCCATCTAAGTGGTTATCGATAATCTTAATATTTTTCTCATCTCATTTGAATTCCTCATGAGAAAGAAATTCTCCAAATGCCAATCCAATGATTATTACTAATTCAATAACTTTAAATCTTATGTTCTTTTGTCTAATGTTGAACGCAAGGGTGTATCTCTCATTCTCCTCATTGTCGAACATCGTCAGTAGTAACTGATGAATTAGTGCTCTAGAGAATTGCAATCATACTTTTCAATGGGCGATGACACACCATAAAGTTCCTTGGGAGCCATAACACAATGTATTGTGTTTTGCGTGTCATTTTAAACATCATACACAATATTAAATAATTGTAAATAAAAATATATATCAGTATGAAATACTATAAATGCTGCACCTTCATTTACTATAAAATACACAACATATAAAGAAAAAATTCATCGAACCAATAAATTAATAATAAAATATAATTAATCAATTTAAATTTAAAATCTAATTAAATTACATTCAAACTTAATTAACTAAATAATCAACCAATCAACCAATTTAAAAACTTTTTAATAAAAATAAAATAAAATACATAATTAGCAATATTTACACTAACCAACCTAAAACAACTCACACCAACTAAAACACCCAAACTCTTAAAAAACTAGAACATAAACAAAACTCTCAACACTCAAAACACAAATTGTCCAAACTCTCTATAAGGCTCCAAGCAAGCTCCTGTAGGTATAAAACTGTAGGCACCTGCAAGTGAAGAAACAAAGTTGATCAATACTAAAATAACTATAAAGTAAGAAAGGAACAAGTGCTAAATTAAGCTATAAAGCAAAAAGAAAAGCAGTGTACTAAAAGAAACGTAGGGTACTGAAAGAAAAGAACAAGTGCTCAAACAATTGCTAAAAAGAAGAACACTAGCACTGAAATAAAAACACGGGTATAAAAACAATAAAGAACTAAACTAAAAATATTACTGTGCAATCTACCTATAGAAAAAATTACAGGCACTTCTAAGGGAAGTCATACGACTTATCCAAACCAAACCCATATGCCGCCTTGCTTATTGGGCTATGTTGTAAGACCTACCTTTAGACTACTTCTAAATGCAGAAGCAGTTAGACTCATCCAAAAAAATTGCTTGCCACTTCTAAGTGAAGCATTAAAACCCACGCATTAGGAAAATTTTTAAGTGAAGTAGAACAACCCTAAAATCCAAACAAAAACTATTGATAACTTCTAAGGGAACTCGTAAGACATATCCAAACAAAACCCATGAGTCGCCTTGCTTATAGGGCCAAGTTGTAAGACCCATCTTCAAGCCACTTCTAAATATAAAAGACATAAGATCTATCCAAAATAGATATGCATCTTTCAAAGAAAGTTGTAAGACCTGTTATTCGGGTTACTTTTAATGAAAGTCATAAGATCCACTTCTAAGACAATCGGTGTTAATGGAAGCTGTAAGCTATGGACCAGTTTAGTTAACCGAGTAACTTCTAAATGAAGTCATAAATCTCAAACTATATCAACTAGGTATTCTACCACTCATAATCACTTCATTCTATTTAGGATTCCTGAGAAGAGAAAACCCACGTCTGCTAATTAGATTCCCTGTACATTATGATGAACAATCACTAGTGTTGGTAGATTGAAAACTACGGTATATCCGAGACAACAGAATCATGGTATCTTGATCAGGTTAACCTCAATTTCCCCCCACAACTAAAACAAACATCTAAAATTGTTCATCCTTAATCGAGAGTTTTATCTAACGCAGTAAGAGTAGTGGTATTTAACAATGAGGGTTTGCGCTCATATGAAGTATGGATTCGGATCTAAGTAAACCCTGATACTACCCCAGGGGAAATCTGGTTAACTACTATCTACCTTAAGGAGAATGAAATCCTAAGTCTGCAGAGTGGAATTCATGCCGACGCGCCATTTTTCCTGAGCAAACACCAATGATACAATGGGGATGTCTTGTCTATTACGGTTATTATGAGTCATATAAAGTAAAATTCACCTCTACTATTATTGACCTCTACTATTATTCACCTCCAGCTTCTATAGAAAAAGTAATAGCATTTGAAATGACCAAATCAATTGCTCTATTCCTATTTCATGTTTAACCTTTGATCCAATTAGCAATTATATTGTACAATTGAATGTTGCTGCCAGGAATTGCAAAAAGAGTAACATGTATGATTCAAGTACGTTGTTTAATTATTCTCCAAATTTGATTAATCTTCTAGCTGATTGTATCGCCACTTAATGTGAGAATATTACATGAGTGATATCTAAATTACTGTCTTTGAAAGTGAATAAATTATATTGCCAACAAATTAATTTTGTTTCATTTTTATACTTAACCATCTGCAACAATCGTAACTGTTTTTTTATTCATTGTTATGTAAATCAAGTTATCATTTCAAGAATGGACTCAACAAGTACAAGAGATGTTGAACACAAAGAAATTTGGTGATATTGCATTCAGAGACAAGGATTTCAAGAGTGCAATTGAGTACTACTCAAAGGTATTTGCTTTAACCTTATTTATGTCTTACGCTAAAAATAATAGGTTCAGAATATGTTTGTTACTTAAAGGCCTTCATTATATGAACTAACTTGTATGCTATTGACTGGACGGTAAATTGTGGTAAGAGTCAATTGATAACTACTGCCCAATATTTGGGTGTTCGATTATTCCTATTAGTTTTGGTGCAAGCATTCCCTAGAAATTAGTGGACTGATATCAGAAAATTCGGAACCAGGGGAACTGGATTGTAGTATTTGGAAACCATAAAACCCAAGACCTTCATTCCTCCATAAACTACGGAAATGTTACTAGAGAACTAGAGCCGGACTTGTTCGATATTTCCTACTTATTTTAGAACAAACATTTACCATAATATGTACTGGACAGATATTAGCAATTTGGAACTAGCGAGAAACTGGATTGTAGTTATATTTAACAATAATACCCATTCAAGGATGCTTCACTTGAGTAAATTTGTGCTGAATTAATTTTTTATCCTGAAGTTGTAGTAGGTGCTATAAGGTAGACTCTTTTCTCTTTGTCCAGATATATTATGCTTCTGTGTCCTTTTTAGTCTTTCTTGGAAACAAAGGCAATATTTTATATCTGGTTCATTTGAGATATTCATTCCTTTTTAATCATTCTTATTTAGAGAAGAATGTTCATGGCTTTAGATTGGCATGCAAAAATTTTTTATTGTATTTTTTAACCTTAATCATAAATATTTTGTAATGGCTAATAAGGTCTGAAGTGGATGAAATCTAAATCAGGAACTATAACAAATATATCAAGCGCCTTTTCATATTTTAATTAAAACAAAATAGATTTCTCCGTGGCAAACACAGACGAGGATTTTTGTTACACAGAATATTTTGTTTTGGCCGAAAACATAGTCGGGCAGCTGATTCTAAATGTTTGCAGCAGACAAGTTGTTTGCAGCAGACAAGTTTGGAGTTCTAAGCTATATAAGGAGTGGCACAGCAAAGAAACCCATGTGCAAATTTCCTCCAACTCTTAAGCCAGAAAAATATAAATAAATATGTCAGTTCAACTTTATGCGCGATAAAAGCTCCACATTGACTGAAATCCTGGAGTTTGCATTTTCTTTAATTGTACTCTCTCTGTGAAATTGGAACAATTATTACGTCCTCCGACCGGATGCAGAGAAGCATCCGGTCGATAGCAAAAAAAACTCGGTACCGTGGTGTACCGAGTTTTTTGAAAAACTCGGTACACCTCGGTACCGCCTCTTTTTTGCCTACGACCGGATGCAAGATGCATTCGGTCAACCGAACCAAATAAAACCTCGTGAAATTGGCCTGATGTTTTTATTAAATTATTTATTCTCAAGGTCAGCCCTTCGTGTGATTTAAGTCTTTTGAATTATATTTAAGAGATACTTAACTTGCATGTTAGGAGATGTCTGTTAACATGCATTTACTTGAATTCATGGCTTTTTCTAGCAAATTCGAACAAGTCATGTTCTTCTAGTTAAAGTAGAATGCCTAGAAAGGAGGCAAGTAACTGTTTTCAGCTATTGTCCCTGGAGATTGGGAAAAAAGAAGCTAAACACAACTACGATACGCACAAGTGGAAAGAAATAAGCAAACACAACTACAATCTTGTAGAAGGAAAGGCTGAAGATGAAAACAGTCGAACACAATTATGGTCTTAGGGGAGCAGTCGTCCTAGAAGGAAGCCAAAGAGGGAGCATCGCATGAGGTTACATAAGATAAGGAAACAAACAATAGCTTCTGCAACAAGATTAGCATGCTGGAAGTGAAATTCATGAGAGGATGGAAACACAAAAGAATCCACACCATTGTTAGAGGGTTCATGAAATAAAGTTAAGTTAGATACCTTAAATTTTAGAATAATGATATTATAACTTTTGAAGATTGCCATTTTATAACATTAATTCAATGCGGTATATAGTTGATATGGTCATATCTTTTTCGTAGTTAATCTTTTAAATGCCTTGTATGAAGCCTTTCAGGATTTAGACGTTTTTTTATCTTATTGTTTGATTTGAATTCCATGTCATTTTAATATCAACAGTAAGCTTATAACTGACATAATGAACAAAAAGTTTTTACGAACCTCTTCATTTAAATCAGATATATTATTCAAATCATATAAATGATATGAAGCAACAAATAATTTTTAATTATCAGTGTATGTGGTACAGTCAGGGGGTCTTCAGTGAGATTCTTCTGGTTCTTTTTTGTGTGAATTTTACATTGATGATTGGTGGGGTTAATTTATTCATCTTGAACACTAAATAAACTTTATATTTACTTTGAAGTTCTGTAACGTATGGTTTACTAGGAACTCTTCTATTAGTCTTTCTATGATTGCATGAACTTCAGCCGAGTCTTCTAGTTGAAAATTCAATCACTTTTCTCTTTGTCAAGGGTTTAGGCTTTTCTGCAATATTACTTTTTAACATACTTTAAATTTAGCTAAATTTTTTTGGAATTTGTTTGACTTTTAGGTAAATATGATAATTTTCCATTACTTGATGTTATGGACCATACCCATTTAATGCTATTGGAATTGAAAGTTTTAATGGAATGTTAATATTGTTTGAAAGCTGACAATTACTCCTCCACACTTGTTTTCTTCCTTTCAAGTATCGATCTCCTTTGCAAAACATTACTTTGTTTGTGATTCCGCAATTGATATTATTATTTATGTTCTTAGAATTTTTGCCTAATGTTTGCTTTTTTCATCTGTTAAGTAGTGTTTCGAAATTTGGGTTGAGCTGACCTTTGGTGCTAGTTTGACATCTGGGCACAGACGATCATTTTAAGATACTTGATACTATGGACGTATTATGTGTTTTCCAATTAGTATGATGTATTCATGTATGTTTGTGACTTCTGGCCTAATTATGCTTTTCCTTTTTATCTTTAAGAAGTGTTTTAAAAATTGGGTTGAACCTACTTTTTGATCATTTGGAGTTGGTAGTCATCTTCTCTCTAGTTTCCCTGATGCCATACCATCCTAATTTCACCAATGGGGTCAGCATTATGAAATTTTTTTTCTACCGAGAGCTGCAAGAGATGTGAGCCTAACCCTTTAGGGAAGGAGACGAAGCCGTGAGTGCAGGAGATGAAGTCGGAAGGAGACGACGCAGGAAACGAAGCCGAAACAGAGGGCAGCGCCCCCTTGGACCCCTGGCAGACCGGTATATTGTTGTATTCATGTTGTCTTATTATTGATAGAAGACCATATGTTGTCTTATGATATAGGGGATAAAAGAAAAAAATATTATAGATGAAGAAAAGTTTGATGATGACTTTAACATTAATTATGAAGATTCTTCTGAAGACAATCAAAGTGATGATGAGCCTGCATTGGATCTTGATCCTAAAGGGATATTTTATTTTTAAGTGAGTTTATTTTAAATCTCCTTTTCCAATAATATACTAATATTATCTTAGAACAAATCATCAAATTCACAATTGACATAAATATTTTGTTATTTTTTGTCATTATTCATAATTTTAAATTACTTTATCGAGGCTTACGCCTCGCCTCGCTTATCCAAAACGCCTCGATTCCCGATTTCGCCTTTTAAAACGTTGCTTTAATCAACTTATTTTTTATTATTTATTGGTATTTAATATTATTAAATACATATTTTAAATTATTTTCTATTGTGCTCTATGTTTAAATAGGCGCGAGCCGTGTCATGCGCTATGCGCCATGGCTCAACAGAGATCTTTGCGCAGTGGTGCGTCATTCACCACTGATAAATATTAAGTACCGTACTATAATATTTTTCATTCTGTTATTCTTAAATATTTCATGGAAATCACCATGATTTAAGTATGACTTTCCGGATCTTTAATTGTTGTTTCATTTAAACCTGAAGTTCTAATTTTATGCATCTTTTTAAGTCATTTTTCACTTTTAATTAATCTATAATACATCTTTCTATTTTGTTCATTTTTCTCTTTTGAAGCTCTTATTTAATATCTTAAAGTAATACTTTTATCCTTTTGAAGAGTCATTTTTCTCCTTGTTATCTTGCCTATTGTATAAATCATCAAAAAAGATAGCTCCATCTTTGATTACTAACACCTTTGCAAGAATGCTTATTTTCTTATAATCATATGATAAACCCCACTTGTATTTTTGCCTCTTGCCACTTTCTGTAGGAAAATTTATTTTCATCAATAATATTTTGTTCACTATTACTCTTTTTATTAATTTATACTATGCTTTAATATATATATGGAGACTTAATTTGCCACGCTAAATCATGCAGCTCGTAGTGATGATGTCAGTGCCTTCTGCAACCGTCTTTGCAAGGAGAGCTCTTTCTTATCTGATGAACGGGCAACCAGAGCTCGCACTTCGAGATGCCATGCAAGCCCAGGTGTGCTTGTCTGAGTGGCCAACAGCCTTTTATCTTCAGGCCCTCGCCCTCTCAAAATTAGGCATGGAAACTGATGCCCAGGATATGCTCAATGATGGAGCTTCCTTCGAAGCTAAGAAGCAAAATAGCTGGCGAGGTTAAATGTTTCTCTTGAAAAGAAAGTCTCCATCACTAAAGCAGATCTCCCTCAGGTTCCTGATAATGCTTCCAGTGGATAAGTACTTCTAAGAGAATTGAATTCTGGTGTGGAAGCTGGAGATGGCAAAATAAATGTATAGTATTAGTATCTTCAGGAGAAATAATTTTGTATGTTCTTATGGTACTTGGGTTTTGATCTAATTATCGCGTCTGTAGTTGTGGGAGAGATTGAGCTTGGAGGGATGGCAATTGGATTGAATATTTATCTATGAACAGATGATGATTAGCATTCAAACTGCTTGGGGTATGTGCTCTGTTGTGTGCTTACGTGCGATAATTTTTTACAGATTGATGATGATAAATGGTTTTTATTAAGCTGAGAAATTTGGACCTCTTATATTAGATACTAAGAAACCGTTGAGGAAAAAGGGGGTATCCAGTTGTAGTTGAAAAGGAGTTAATTGCTCTAAAGTTTGTTTTTTAGATGAAATTGTTCTGTTATATAACATAAATTATAAGCCTCAACTATGAATTGTTGACAGCCAAGCAAGAAATGAAAATTAAAACAAACAGCTAACACCAGCTCAGCCGACAATTCGGTTAATTCAGTTTTAGCTTGTACGGTTGTTTCTTGGTTAAAAGCTATCTATAAATACAATTATAAAGATAGAAACAAGTAATGAAAAAGCTTACTCATTTCTTACAGCTTCTTCTTTGTTCTCTGTTAAATTTATTTCTCTTAGATACTGTAATGTCAGCTGCAAGCTTAACAACATAGCAGTTTTTATGGTATCAATAGAGACTAGAGTTTTTTTTTTTACCTCTCATGGCCGGATTGTCTACCAACTCGCCGACGGAGTCAAATTCGTCCATCATCACCACAACGATGCCTCCCCAGCTCAAGTTCTTGATGAGTAATATCAAGAACTTAATTCCGAACTCGCTGACATATGAAAATTTCTCAATCTGGAGCTGTCAAGTGGAGAAAATCTTCATTGCAAATGGGTTCAAAAGTTTTCTCGACAGCACATCCAAATGTCCATCACAATCATCTGCTCCAGACAGATCGTACGCAACAGGGACTATAACACCATTTGACAACTGGATACTCATCGATCAAAATATCACCGCTGGATTATATTCGGTAATCTCAACATCGATCTTGCCTTATGTTTCTCACGCTAACTCACTGTTATGATATATGGATCATTTTATCGCATCGTCTTCAAGCAACAATTCGTTCTCGGATAATTCAATTGAAGAGTGAGTTACATCATCTTTCAAAAGGCAACAAGATGATGACACAGTATCTTCTTGAAGTGAAATCCAAAGTAAATGTCATAACAGCAACCGACAGTAGCATCGATCCAGAGGATGTGATTCTTCACATATTAAATGGACTCCTTGCATCCTATCAATCATTTAAAACGGCGATCAGAACCAATATGCAACCACTGAACTTAGATGATCTCTACAGTCTACTGTGCAGTGAAGAGCAGATCTTAGCGAATGAAGAAACACATGATCTCCAATCTTTAAATTTGACGGACAACTCCATGGCTCTCACTGCCTCTCGAGGTCGAGGTCGAGGGAGATACAACAATTCTCGAGGAAGCACAGGCCGTCGAACCTCACAACAACCAGGTCGGGGAGACAGAACATATAGAAATCCAAATCGCCATATAACCTGTCAGAAATGTAATAAAACAGGTCATTCAGCAATTAGATGTTGGTATCGAAATGATCCAACATATACATATACATGATCTCACAATGCATTATTTACATCACCGGATACAGCTTCTCAATCAGACTAGTTCCTTGACAGCAGGGCTTCAACACACCTAACAGCGGATTCTTCTCAATTGAATACATCTGAACCATACACGGATCATCTCAAGTGGTTATTGGCAATGGACACCAACTTCCAATTCAAAACACTGGTCGTGGTCTCTTACCTACACCAACAGGTAATATTCTTCTTCATAAAATTTATCATGTGCCAAACTTGTCTTTCAATCTCCTTTCAGTACATCAGTTAGCCACTGATAAAGATTGTATCATATCTTTCTCCTTAAATGGGTATCAAATAAATGATTCGAAGACTCATCGTCTTCTACTTAAAGGGCAGGGCCATGCCATAATGGGCTCTACAGAATTCATCCTGCTTCCAAGCTTTCGCACCTAGCATTGATCTCAGCTGAAACCATTCCAGACCTGTGGCATAATCGCCTCGGGCATCCAGCTGCTTCTACTTTACAATTCCTAGCTAGGAAATATTTTGATATGTGTACTTTTGTTCTCTCTACATGTAACACATGTTGCCTTACCAAGAGCAAGTGACTACCCTTCTCCAACTCTATCTCTCATACTACTGCACCTTTTCAATTAGTACATTATGATCTCTGGGGGCCGGCACCGTCTACGTCAGTGCAAGACTATAGATATTATGTGTCATTCATTAATGACTATACTGGATATTGTTGGGTTTTTCCATTACTTCTAAAGTCAGAAGTCACTCGCATATTCATAAAATTTCATCAAAATATTAAATTCCAATTTAATCAAGCCATTCAAACAATCAGGATCGATGGTGGTGGAGAGTATTTGAATAATAATTTCAAATCATATTATATTCAGCATGGCATTAACCATAAATTCACTTGCCCACATACACCATCTCAAAATGGTGTTTCCGAAAGGAAGCACCGACATATAATAGAAACTGTCAGAAGTCTTCTCACTCACTCAAATGTTCCCCCCATTTTTTGGATTGAAGCATTATACACAGCCACCTATCTAATCAATAGACTGCCAACTTCAACTCTTCACAACAAAACACCTTTCGAAAAATTGTACAACAAATGTCCAACCTACACACACTTGAAAACCTTTGGATGCATATGCTATCCGTGGCTGAGACCCTATGGAAAATCTTAGCTATCACCACTTTCACTTCTATGTGTGTTCATAGGATATGCTCAAACACAAAAAGGGTATAGATGTATAGATCCCAACACTAATCGGGTATATGTGTCTAGACATGTGATTTGCAATGAGAAAATGTTTCCATTCAAACAAACTCATACAATCACCACTTCACCTACTCCTACAGTCTACCCAAATAACATCCCATCCCTGTTACTTGTTCCCAACTGTTCTCCTAGAAAACTTCAACCCAAACAGTCATTACCCACATCATCACATACCTCCAACACACCTATCAGACCCGTGCCAAATACTCCCAGTCTATCCCACAGCCCGATCCCAAGGTCTCCTATGCCAATATCCAATCCAACCACTCAGCCTACAAGATCTATGGTTCAAGCTCACCCAATGACCATCTTAAACCAAAAAGAGTACTTGATCTTACTCACAAACTCACTAATGATGATCCTACCATATATGCACAAGTTGTTAAATATGAGCATTGGCGCATGGCTATGTCACAAGAATTTCAAGCTTTGCAAACACAGGGTACATGGGAGTTGGTACCTGCCTCCAATCAAATTCCGATTAGGTGGAAATGGACGTTTAAAACAAAATATAACTCAGATGGAACTATCTTTCGTTACAAGGCAAGGTTGGTTGCACTTGGATGCCATCAAGAACTAGGATTGGACTACAAGGAAACATTTAGTCCAGTTGCTAAGATAGCTACAGTTCGTATTCTATTAGTTCTTGCATTACATCATAAATGGCCAATAAATCAATTAGATGTATCGAATGCTTTTCTACATGGTCATTTATCGAACACTGTATACATGAAGCATCCAATGGGCTTTATAGATGAAAATTTTCCTATTCATATTTGTAAATTGAAGAAGGTCATATATGGTCTTAAGCAAGCACCAAGGCAATGGTTTGAAACACTAACTAGCTTTCTCCACAGTCTAGGCTTTACTATAAACCACTCGGATTCATCTCTAATGCTTTACAAGAATAATGGTGTTGTCATGTACCTTTTTATCTACGTTAAAGACATCATATTAACAGGCAACAATTCTCAGTGTATAACAAATCTATTGCAGAAAATGAATCAACGGTTTCACATGAGGAACTTGGGCTCACTAACTCAGTTTCTTGACATTACAACAACAAATACCAAAGACGGGTTAGTCTGCATCAAATAGGTTATGCAGAGAAGATTTTAATGCGAGTTGGCATGTTCAAAAGCAAAGAAGTTGCTACTCCTATCAGTCTTAAAGCAATTACTTCATCTGATTCTCCTACATTTGCTAACCCGAAACTATATAGACACCTGGTAGGAGCACTTCAATACTTAACACTCATAAGGCCGGATATTACATATGCAGTTAATAAAGCCTGCCAGCATATGCATCAACCGACTGAATTCAATTTCGAATCTCTCAAAAGAATTATGTGCTACATTCATGGATCGCTATAGATTGGTATACCAATCACTGCAGATTCATTAACACTCAGTTCATACACAGATTCAGATTGGGCCGGAGATCCTCAAGACAAAAAATCCACAACTGGTTATTGTAATTTCTTAGGTTCTACTCCTATTTCATGGTGTGCTAAGAAGCAATCAATGGTAGCAAGATCATCAACTAAGGCTGAATACAAAGCTATTGCTCTGGCTACAATAGAGATTATATGGCTTAGAAGGCTACTCAAGGAACTAGATTGCATTCAAAATAAACCAACACAACTATATTGTGACAATACTTTAGCAATTGCCTTGGCCAACAATCTAGTTTATCATGCTCGTACCAAACATATTGAGATTGATTGTCATTTTATTAGACAATGCATTAAAAATCAATCTATACAAGTTCATCACATTGCATCAAAAGATCAACTAGCTGATTTGTTTACCAAACCTTATCTATTTCTCGCTTCAATCATCTTGTTACCAAACTCACTATCACAACTGTGCCATCAGTTTGCAGGGGTATGTTGACAGCCAAGCAAGAAATGGAAATTAAAACAAACAACTAACACGAGCTCAGCTGATAGGTTTTCAGTTTTAGCTTGTACGGTTGTTTCTTGGTTAAAAGCTATCTATAAATACCATTGTAAAGATAGAAAGAAGTAATGAAAAAGCTTACTCATTTCTTATAGCTTCTTCTATGTTTTCTCTGTAAAACTTTTTTCTCTCAGATACTGTAATGTCAACTGCAAGCTTAACAGCATAGCAATTTTCATGAATCCCATGAGCCTTTGAAGGTGAACTTGTCTTCTTCGCACCTTTGTCTTTGGTGATCACATGGCTCAAGTGGTCAATTTAGGGGTGTAAATAAGTTAAATTGGTCTTTTAATGAGCTTGTGAGGCAAGCTCATTAAGCTATGAGCTCAAGTTGGGTCTCAAAGTCGATGTTAATTGTTCACAATATCAGGGTTTATGTGATTAGCTC